TTTTTCTTCGTTCTATTATTAAACAAATAAGTGATAGTATACCACATATTAGTACCACTACACCCAGAATAACATGGCTCCAAATAACAATTTCTTTGGTGGTTAAATGAGCAAGAATAAGTGCAAGTCGGGCAAGAAATTCTAACATAAATCCTACTGACCAAATAATTGTCAATATATAACATGAACAACGAAATGATCGACAGTTTGTGTAAATCCAGTCATAAACTTGTTTAACTTCCTTTTTTTCAGCGTTCCGTTTTGCTTTCCGTTCTGCTCTCCGTTCTGAAATACCATCTACATATTGTCCATTCATTGCTTTTGATCGATCATCAAATATATCATCAGGTAAACCAACATCCTTTCGTTTTGTTGGCAATAAATCTTTATAAAAAAAGTAAGCAATTGGTCGCCAAACACATCGACGTGGACAACAGCGAAATGGCAAATATCCACATGGCCAACATGAACATGGAAATAATGTTATAGCACAAACAATAGAAACAACACCAGTAACAAGAGATTTTTCTATTAAAAGTATAGTATCATTATTTGTAGCAAGAGCAACAATAGCCGAAATAACAAAAGCAATCAAAATAAGAAAACCGAGTATATCAAATCTCCTTGATATACAGCCTTTAAGAACGATCATCACAAGTGGTGGAGCACCTGCGACTAAAAGTGCATAAACTGAGCCAATTTTTTTGTATAGAGTAAAATATAGAACAAGTGGAAGAATGAGATCAAAAATAATGGTAAGTATAAAATACGGAATATGACGTTTAAATGTATGCCATAGAGAGAATTTAACATCTGGTGATGATTGTTGTTGTTTCTTAGAATATGGAACAGGTTCTGAATAGTATTCATCAAATGAAGCCATTAACTATTTGTTTGTTATCAAATCGTGCAATATTCAATATTTATGCATGGCTTCCTAAATAGAAAAAAAATAGATTGTAAAATTATTCAAAAATTTTGATCTGTGTCTTCTGTTAGAAATCAAGAGCAATTTTATCAGAAAGGTTGACTTGATTTAAAATACATATATATATATATACTAATTGACGTACCTATATTCATTTATTTTATGCGCAGGTGTTTGATCAGGTACTTGAAAACCATCAGTTTTCTATGTTTAGTTTCTCTTATACCGTGTACCCTCTCTATGCATGAATACAGGTGATACGTATGTAAACAATGTTAATGATATCTTTTTTCGGTATTACTCATGAAATTGCATATTTTTGTACCTGTATATTTTCTCGATGAATAATGCATTGATAATTGCTCTTTTCCATTGCAATTAAAAACAAGTGACGTCTGTTTTTTATCGGTTCCTAATGTGTCATTTATATACAATCTTTTTTTTCTATCAACAAACTAACGTCAATGTTAGGTTTCAATAAAGAAATTTTTGTTTTCCTCAGATATATTTATTATATGAATATATTTAAGAATACAATCTTGTTCGATAATGGATTAATTTATAAAAACATTACCATTTCTTTTTAGACGAGGTCAGTCATACTTCTATTATCATTAAATCTCACTTTACAAATAAAAACTAGACGTGACAACGTTTAATTTAACGTCTAAAGAATGATATTTCCTTATACTTAACAATAATTTAATGTTATCTACGAATAAAATGTTTTATTTCTAAACGAAATGTTTTTGAGACAATTAAGTTTGTATAAAAACTAAGACAATATGGTATATGAAGACTAAATGTTGAAATATTGATAAGAAATTGATTGATAATTGTATGATTAAAATAATATTTGAATTATTTCTTACCAATGAAGGTAGAATTCGAGAACGACTATGATGTATATTTCTTATTGTTAATAAACCAAAATTAGTTTGTAAAATAGACGGAATCATTCTATTAACAATCAATGAATAATATAACTTACTAAATTAGAATATAAACCTAGATTAGAATAACATACAAAATAATTTGATTCTAATTGTATGATATTTTGATCAATTGATGCTAATATTAAATAAAATGACGAAAAACATGCAGATAAATAAGATTATATGAACCAGGTTCAATATTATAACCAAGTTAAAGTATTGATAGTAGAAATGAAAATAAAGTAAAAGAAAACTTGATATTAAATTAAATGCTATTAAACAAACTGAACAAGAATTATTTCGTGTAAATATAATCAGATTGCATATGCAACTAATAGTACGAATAAATAATAAAGCTGCAGAAGCAATTATATGTAAATCTATTGGAATAGTTTCTAATAACTCAATAGAATCGACTGATGTAGGCATATCAACAAAATACTGTTTAACTTCTAATTATATTTTAAAATCATCTAGTTTCTTGGTTTCCATTTACTCGAACGATTATTATTATTCAACAATCGTATTTCACAAACAAAATCAGTCTATTTCTAATTGTATGTAAAAATTTATATGAAAACGTTATTTTTACGTTAAAAATATATTGTTTCGTTGTAGCTATTTAAATTAAGACAATGCTCCAATCTTCTTATTTTATATTCATCTGATATTTAATAGATTATTGTAAATAATTATTTGTGAACAAAAACAGTTCGTTATGAATGCAATTTTAACACAAATCATCAGTCTGATTAATATTCAAGACATAGAATTTTTCGAATTTTTATTCTAAGTTCATTAGATTCAAATATAAAAAATATAAGAGTTGCATAATTCAACTAAAAATGAATACAAAATGTATATGCTACCTAATCATAGGATGAGTCATGTGATCTTTTTCATAAAATGACAGTAACTAATGTACTTATAATCATAGACAACCAGTAACTAGTATAAACCAATACTCGTCGATATGAGTAACATTTCTATGATCATTTATCTCTGTAAGACTTTTATACTTCTTCATTCTCATATTTGAGTATGAAACACAGAATTGACTCTTGAACTTATAAGTATCTACCGACATAAACTAATACCCATTCATAATTAAAGAGATTCATTAATATTGACAATGTTACATGAATAACGACGTGTACTGATTATGATGAACATTACTACTACTTAGTTTAAAATAATTATCGTCTAATTAATGACAATGTTTATCAAAGATTGAGCACACCTTTGTCTTACTAATTTTAATTTCTTTCATGATATACTTCACAAGGAAATTCGAACAATAATTTATACTTTTTAATGATTGCATTTAGTAATATGAAAGAGTAATACACTTACTACTACTTATTTTATATCGAGAAATACATTCAAACTTCAGTTGATCGAATTCATGTATTACTGAAATCAATCTTTTCGTAATATGTTTTTATTATTATGGAACACTTTTATAAATTAATTTATCATCATATCCAATGTTTTAATTAGAAATTTTATAATAAATTTATTACAGGTTAGTTAAAGCATAATGATATATCTTGTAAAATGCATATAAATACAGGATGAATTACTCCTTTTCAAATCTGTATCTGTAAAGATACTTATTGAATAAACAAAGTTCATTGTCAAACAGTAGAAACACAATACAATATCGCATGTTATTTATCAAATAAAAAAATTACATTGAAATGCCTGTATATGTTTCAATCGTTGAGAAAAGCTTTTATCCTTGTTAAATGATACGATATAATTCGTAGATGACAAGCTACAAAAGAAAACGATACGAAACTTTTAAACAGTTAAAAATAAATATCTTTGGATGTTTTTTAACTCGCGGGAGTTGAAGAGTTAAGCATTGCATGTTTGATGCAGATATAATTAGAAATGAAATGCTCAACAAAGCACACGCTCTCTCTCTATTTTTCAAATATACAACACTTATAAAATGAAGATAATCTAATAATTATAAAGGATAATTAAAAAATAGTTTACATTCTCAAAAAAAAGTCCTGTTATTCACATAAATGTAACGAGGACTGGTGGAAGGGGCAAAATATTCAACCGAGACTCACACTTTGGGAAGAGAAGTGGATCGATCCTCTTCCTTCAGTTCGCGAATGATATTATTTAGTTAGATAAATCTTTTTTTTATAAATTATTCTATTTCTACATATAATAATAACGGAAATACATAGTTTGATGTAGATCCATTTATGATTAGATTATCTATGCATATTACTATTTGAATATTACACTTTTATTTCTCAATCATATTAATTCTTTCCGCTAGTAGATTTTGTTTACTAAAAGTGTCTTTGAGGAGACATCATTATTTCGATAATATATAATCAAATGTTTGAAATTTTTTTTCAAATAATTATCTCAATAAAATCTCATTTACTATGGTTTGTAAGAAAAATTCTCGAAAACTTTGTTAAATAGTAAGAATAAAGTTTTAATTTTCACTTAAGTGCTATAGAGAGAAGTATCAAAGAGAAAAAAAATAGAAGGAGAAATACGCATGCATCTCCGCTACATTTGTGATTCCAATTAGTTCACCTTTACAAATAATCCGTTGTCTTCTTCTTTTTTACTTTTTAACATAAATAATAATGCATGTATTACTTCTTCAGGCATTATTATTACATTAATATATTACTCAAGTCATTCAGACATAGACTTTTAATGTAGCTTATTTTTATTTTAAGTATAGTTTCTAAAACATGTCTTCTTATATTTAAACTGATTGAAGCATAAATCCATCTGTTTCTATATCAATTCTTTTTATTGCATGCGATGAATATAAATACCTCCATTTACACTGGAAAATATTATCTTTTTGTAAACTAACAAGAAAAAATAAAATAAGTTATCTCATTTAGAATTATAATCATTAAAAGAAACCTATTGAACATCAATGTCATCATCATCAATCATTACATCTCTTGCAGTTATTGGTCAACAAATTACCATTTATTGTGGTATATCTATTCTCATTGCAGGTACATTAGGTGGATTTATTCTTACTATTGTATTTCTTAGTCTTCAAGTATTTCGACAAAGTTCATGTGCATTCTATTTAACCATTATGTCAATTGTTAATATTGGTCAACTGTTGACAGGTCTCTTATCTCGTATTATGATTACAGGATTTTCTATTGATTGGACTGCAACTTCATTATTTTACTGTAAATTTCGATTATATTTTGCTAATTTTTGTGCACAAACATCCTCAACCTGTTTATGTTTAGCAATTATAGATCAATATTTTGCTACTTCTTCTCATCCGCGATGGCGACAGTGGAGTAATATCAAAATAGGTCATCGTTTAATCACACTATTCATTATTATTTGGGTCTTATGTGATATTCCATTTTTGATTTTTTACAATCAAATTTACTCGATATCTACAAATAAAGCTACTTGTGTTAGTACAAGCACTATTTTCACACAATATCGAATTTATTTTAGTGCTCCTGTTCTCGGAGGATTTCTACCTATTTGTATTGCATCAATTTTTGCAATTATGGCTTATCTTAATGTACAACGTATTGCATATCGTACAGTACCCCTGGTCAGAAGAGAACTAGATAAACAATTGACCTCAATTGTTCTTGTTCAAATTCCATGTACTATTATTTCTACTGTACCATATACGATTACAAATATTCTAATATCAAATCAAGTTTCAATGACAAATCAAATTGTCTGGGCGCAAATACAATTTGCTTCTTCAGTGGCTGTCTTGTTATTCTATTCTGGATTTAGTGTAAGTATATGTGTGGGTGTTCTAATAAAATTACAAGAAAAATAAATCTATATTCTATTTAGAGCCCATTTTACGTTTGCATATTCGTATCAGAACGATTTCGTCGACAACTAATCTTTGTTTTAACCAAGATCTTTTGTCATCGATGGACAGGACCAAATGACGTTGTTCCTGCTCAAATAGTATTCGAACCATAAATTAATTGCTTTTTTAAAAATTTTATCATTTATTTTTAAATAAACACATCATGCGAAAGACTTCAAGAAATAAGAAATTTCAATTATTCTGATGTAAAAATACGTGGTTTGAAGATTGATTATTTTCATATAAAAACATTTATCTTAGACGAGATTTACAGTTAATGATGTGAATATCAAGGAGGGGGAACTGGTTTCTGGCCAAAAACTATCGAGAAATCAATTGAAATCAATTATAGAATGCTTTTTAATCATGTGAATATAAGTTTCATAAATTTATTTGATATAGAATTGAAAAGAAGAAATATATACTAATTTTGATTAATTTAATGCTTGTTGGTATGATCTGTGAATGATGTATTTTCAGCCCAGAGGATTGTTTAAATTAGCTGCACTTTTTAGCTTTAATACATATTATTTCATGTCATTCTCTGATATAAAGATTGAGACAAACAAACTTACTTTTTGTGGTTCTATAAGATATCCGAATTAAACATAACGTCTCTAAACTAATGATTAAGTAGTTTATAGAATTTTTCAAAATTCAATCGTAAATAATCTCTGTTGGTCTTATTAATCGATAAGAGCAAATCATAGCCTTAGTGAATTATTATTTGAAATTATGTTAGTCATCTGGTGAAAGAATTCTATTTTCGTATGAGTATCGTATTAGAGTTAGCATCTGTGTTGGTTAATAATAATCTTAACTATACCACGACAATTTTGTGATTAAATGTTTCTATATATTGTTGATATGGTATAAGATTTTAAGATTTGAAAATGCCGTGGTCAATTTCGTAATTTTAAATACAATGATACACTGTTCAGGATCTGGAACATGTATGATTGAGGATGACGTAGAATATCCTCACTCATCACTCGGCCTTGCTCGAATTTTGAATTAAGCACACCTTACAACATTTTGATAAAAAATAGAAAAATGTGTGTTAAACATGTATTGTCACTGTTTGTTAACTGATATCTCTTATCATGTCTACTAATAATGATAGAGCAAAAAACTACATAGGCATTCAAAATCTATATATCAACGACAAAAAGTGAGTGAGAATATAATTTCGAAAGGATACAAAAAGCGGCCATTAACCCTTTGAGTCCCAGTGGGACATATATGTCCCACCTAGCGAAAAATTCTAGTTTTCAAAAAATTTCGAATATATTTAACCAATGTTCGTAGTTAAGGTATATTTGTGCGAGATTAAAAACCCTACTGAGTCAGTTTTTAGGCTCCCGTTCGTAAACCTCCAAGGAAGTGGCTAAAATATTTCTCATCATTCCCGTAGGGGGGGGTGCGACTAGAAGTTAAAAATGATTTAAATAATTTTTTTAAAGTATCAATTGAAGTGTCGATAATACTCAATGCTCATACAAAATATCAAGTTTTTAAGAGGTTTCGTCCATAGATTAAATCGTGGGTCTCAAAGGGTTAAAGGTAAGTATCTAAAGACAAAAATCAATTTTTCCGTCGTTATGTATATTCATTTAACATATTTTAATTGAGAACTAAGTGAATAAAACTTTTCTTTTTGATAAATACATATATATTTATTGTTAAACTAAATTAATTATTTGTTTTTAGATAAATGATGATATTATTACATAGTTTAAGTTTTCTTCTATTAATCTTAACAATTAAATATTGTTCAAGTTTAATTTGTTATGAATGTAATGAAATTGTGATAACATCTTCAAATTTAACAACACCATCTGGCTGTACGAAAATGAATGTAGACAAAACATATTGTACAATAACAATTGTTCTTCATAATAATGATATAGGTTATTTAAATGTTGAATCAGAAACAGCTCATCAAGCATTTGGTTATAATGAAGATTTTGTTTTACTTGGTTTAACAGTAAAAAATAATGGATCATATGAATATGGTTTAACTTATCATTGTTTAACAGATGGATGTAATGAACCAAAACTGAGTAAAATTCAATTATTATTTAATTCAACTATCATAGATCATTATACAAACAATATTATACATGAATTATATACAATAACACCTGAAATACCATTAATATGTTCAAATTATACAAATTCTACAACTCCTGATAAATGTTTTTCACATGATCATAAGCGTGCTGTATGTGTGACATGTGTAGCCTCGATTGATGGAATAACAAATTCAGTATGCATGGATTGTTTAACAACTAGTGATCTCTCTACTCTTCTTCGTGATGAACGAGCATATATGTTAAAAACAAGAAATACAACTAATCATAATTTTGAATTACATTGTAATAAACCATATTGTAATCGAATGGATAGCATTGAACGAGTTAAACATTTATATCGTTATAATTTTGATTATGATAAATTTCCGCCAAATTCAACATCGAATTTGACATTATACAACAAAAACATTATTTTTTGTTTTATCTTTATTTTATTTATTTGGAATAAATTTTGAAAACGATTTACAAGATGAGATTTAATTTGAAAATTCATTTTTTGTTTCATCATATAAACATAAGCAGTGAAATAATGATAATATTGTTCTCTGTCTTATCATATAGTATAAGAAAAGACTCGAATACGTAAAAACGTTGATACTATCGACGCTGTAAGTTCTCTCTTATTATTACTTATTTTTACATCGAAATAGTTGATATATATCTACTAACACTTTATTTGAAATCGATTTGTTTTAGAGTGTGGGTGCGAATGTAAGTAACAGTTGGATATTACTCTAGTAGAGTAGCTGATTTAATTCTTCATTATATTTCAAAATAAAAATATATCAATGTAAACAAAAAAAAAAGTTGATTTATCTGTCGACACTATAGTGAATACAACAATAATAAAGAGTTATGAAAATGAGTATGCTGCTAATGACTTTGATAAATGTGGATTTAATATTTGACATTTATCTTGACCAGCAGCCCCTACAATCACATGTAAAGGAATTAAATGATCTTCGCGGCCATGATTTTCTCGTGCGTAAGGTAATTTAGTCCAATTGATCAATGCATCCTGTCTTTCCTTTTCTGACAATGTCTGTAAAGAATTTGTGATTGCATCGACAAACGCATCGCTTTGTTTGCCAGAAGCTCGTCCATGAGTGATTGATCCAGAACCAATTATCAATACACCTTGTTCTCTTAAAGGTGATAGAGCTTTGCCTATAGCAACATGCTGTTCAGGTGAATATGTATTGAGAATGGACACACTAACAACAGGAATATCAGCATTTGGATACATCAATTTCAATGGAATAAACACACCGTGATCAAAATTTCGTTTGGAATTTAACACACCATTAATACCTGACTTTTGTAATAAGTCGAGAACTTGTTGAGATAATTCAAGGTCACCTTTTGGTTGAAATTTTATTTCATATGTCTCTTTAGGAAAACCCCCATAATCATAAAATAAATCTGTATGTTGACTTTGTGCACTAATATTAACAACACCATTGGTTTCCCAATGAGCAGTAACTAAGAGAATTGCTTTTGGTTTATTTTGTTCATTTTGACCGAGTTGATGAGGTAATTGTCGAAACCATTTTGCACCGGCGCTATTTTTATCGATGTCAGCAAAGTGTGGAAAATCTTTACCATCCACAAACCAACAAGGACCAGCTCCATGAGTAAGAAAAACTGCAGGTTGCTTCAATGATGCCATGCTGTAAAGAAAACAAGAAAAATATATTTAAGTTACATGTATTTTTCTTGCATTTAACAAAATAATTATGGCTTCTTCTGAATAGATTTTAGGGGGGGGGGGGGGGTTGTCAAGTCACAGAGAATGAAACGTTTAACTAAACTAACAGCATAAAAATTGAGAGACGTACCTTAATAATGAATATACGTGTTCGAAATGTAACGTTAGAAATTACTTTTGAAAAAAATAAGGTGCATATATATATATATGAATTTATTTGCGTTGATAGAATGACATTGCAAAAAATAATAAGAAAAGAAAGAATAACAATACTCATTAGAATGAGTCATACCCTGAGAACAACGTGTGTCATTATGATTTATGCTGATCCGTCATACTTACATAAGCAATGAATAACTGAGACGCGTTTAGGATTTCATGATATGAAGTAAATGAAGAAAATAATTATATGATTTGGTTTCTAAACATTTTCCTTGGTTTTAGTGTTGGATCTTGTAGGATGATTGTTTGCAAAAATATGGAGAAATAACTTTGATATTCTATGGACAAGCCAATTGTAAGAGAAAAAAAGTTAAAATTTAGTTTTAATCATAAAATAAGGCATATTCAAAAAGATATTTCGAAACTCTTAATATTACAGATACAAAACAAGAAACTTTATTTTTTGCAATAAATGACAGATGTCGCTAGACTTTAGTCAAATATGATACAGGGTGTGGATGGATGTTCATTAGTTATCCGCACTCTCACCCACACC